ACTTCAAACTTTATTTTGAAAATTGAATATGGAGATGGACTAGAGATGGTAATAGTCTAGAACAAAATTGAAACATACTAAATTAATTTAGTTTCTCAAAGATTTTACTATGTATTTGTTCGGTTTACTTTTTCACTTTTGTTTATTCGGATTGGGATCTTAACGGAAAAACAAATACGCGATGGTTAATTCTCTGTCATTCTTTTTACTGTCGGAAAATGCATTTTTATGATGTCGTTAAATATCGAACATGAGGTAATAATTAGAGACATGTGTTACTATTATTTCGTTTGCCCACCTAGATTTGGTCAAAACTCAAAAGCAAACGTGTGGGGGTAATAAATATTAAATACCCTTTCTTTTATGTAATGATACATGCTTTTTAATTGTATATAAATAAAATTAATTTTATATGATATCTAGAGTATCTAAATTTATTCAGTGATCTTCTTAATCAAAGGTTAATCAAATCAAAACAACATTGGTCAACTGGATTGGGACCACTAATGAGTTGAAATCAAGTAATTAAATATCAGCTATATTTCTTAAAATCTGACAAATACTATCAGTCATAATAACATCAACTAAAATAAATAATATTCGTAATTACAATTGAGAGTTGACTTGTAAAGAAAAAAATGTTATTTTATGTATTAAGGAATTATTGCAAAATATTATAACAGCATAATCTACAAATTTAGAGATTAATTACATTAAGAAAAAAAAAAAGATAATGGAGAATCTAATGATGCTGAAATTGTTGGTTCCTACACGGACATAGAATATGATACTAGTTTATTACTTTTTTGTCCAAAAAAAAAAAACCTTATATTCCGTTTGAAGAAGATTTTATTTAAAAAATCAAAATTTAAGATCTCTAAGAACATAATTTAATACTAGCACTATCAACATGTACATAGCGTAAACCTATTAATAATACTGACTGGGCCTTTTTCATAACAAACTAGTTGTAAATCTATATTAATAATGGGCCTTGCATAGATTTTATTTATAAGGTCCATTAGTTTCTATTTGAGTGAATGGACTAACTTTGGAGACTTTAAGTCAGGCCTTAGTGTTACAATACGGTAACATTATGAACCGGCCCAAACAAAAAAAGTCGCATATCTGAGACCAAACTATTTGTTTCCTTTTCAAATCGATATAGTGGGATTTTTTATTTTTCTTTTCTTTCCAAACACATATGAATTCGGAATTCCGGATCATAAAATACTTGAATATTTATCTGTCAAATCGATAATCCATTTTATCAAAAAAAAAAAAAAGTGGATAATCCACATCATATCTGTCTGTAAATTTTTATCGGCTTTAGTTATCTATTGATAAAAGCATTGTTTATCTATTTTATATGGAGCCATTACCTCTTATGATTGAGCATTTATAATCTTTTGAAAGAAGAAAGCTAAGGTCTTAGATTTGAGACACAACAATACGAATGAGGATTATGAACCATGTTCTAATACTTTTTTTTTTATAAATTCTTCCATTGAAACAAACTTTTTTGTAGAAAAGTATTGCAAATTAAAAGGTGTCTTTGCTTAATTAAGAATTATCAGAGATAACAATTAAAAGGACAAAAAAAGGAAAAAGAATGTGCAATTATCTTGTGGTTGATTAGGTTTGAGAATGATTGGTTCTACCAGAAACTTAGGTGGAGAAAAGGATAAAAACCAAATTAGACAAAAAGGTTAATTCCGTCATTTCAAACAAAATTATATTACCACTTCCTTGTTTTGTTTTCCATACTTTACGGACAAGAACGAGAGAAGCCCGCTTACGTGGTTTCTACACTGTTTTTTTGACGAACCCACCAAGCTCGCTCGAGTAGATCGGTATTAGATCCATCTTAGGTTCCTCTAATTTCCTCAATTCATTCGAAATTTTGATTCTTTCTTCTTTCTGCGTTTCCAATTTTAGTCCTTTGTAATCGTTGCTTTTGCGATCGGAATCGTAAAAATCCGATCTTTTTTTTTTTAGATTCGTTTGTTTTGATTCCAAATCGGAGAAAATGGGTAAAGTAGCTGTTGGAGCGACTGTTGTTTGCACGGCGGCGGTTTGTGCGGTGGCTGTTTTGGTTGTTCGACGACGGATGCAGAGCTCAGGGAAGTGGGGACGTGTTTTGGCCATCCTTAAGGCTTTTGAAGAGGATTGTGCGACTCCGATCTCGAAACTGAGACAAGTGGCTGATGCTATGACCGTTGAGATGCATGCTGGTCTTGCATCCGACGGTGGTAGCAAACTCAAAATGCTTATCAGCTACGTTGATAATCTTCCTTCTGGGTACATTTTCTAATTGGATTTTTAATTCTGATGCTTTTTCATTGAAATTTTTAATCATCCTGATTTTGAGATTGCATTGTCTCTTAATGGTTTCTGTTGTCTGTTTTGTATCGTTTGTGGTCAAAATTGATCGATTAGATAGGATTGTGGATCTACTGTTTCAGTATCAGTGAATCTTTTGGAATCCAGATCATGTCCCACTGAATCTCATTTACTTATAAGTTTTGTTGTATCACTCATACGAAGCTTGGTTTTGTTGTCATGGATTTGTGATTTTAGTTTTATTTATTTGACGTTTTATTCATAGTTAGATTAAGGCCAAAAATGACAGGGATGTGGATTTGATTTGTCTGAAAAGTCTGTCCACAAACGTCACTTTTGTCTTATGGACTGTCTGATAAGATTAGTTTTGACAAAATTCTGAAAATGGTCAGCCTTTGAAACATTAATGAGATTGATTGCGTCACATTTCTAGAAGGCATTTTGTTCAACTTTTGTAGAACATTTTGGTGCGATATCATTTTCGCTTTAATCTTGTTAGTCGATCCGTTGAGTTTCATGTTGTAGGTCAAGAGAATCTGTCTAACCTATACTACCATTGATATAAACAGGGATGAAAAGGGTCTCTTTTATGCATTGGACCTAGGTGGAACAAACTTCCGTGTCATGCGTGTGCTTCTTGGCGGGAAGCAAGAGCGCGTTGTTAAACAAGAATTCGAAGAAGTTTCGATTCCTCCCCATTTGATGACTGGTGGTTCAGATGTCAGTTTCTGTTCTAAAAAAATTGTCATGTTAGTCTTAGATGATCTATGTGTAACAAGATTCTTTTGTGTTTTTATGATGGATTCAGGAGTTGTTCAATTTTATCGCTGAAGCTCTTGCGAAGTTTGTCGCCACAGAATGCGAAGACTTTCATCTCCCGGAAGGTAGACAGAGGGAATTAGGTTTCACTTTCTCGTTTCCGGTTAAGCAGACTTCTTTATCCTCTGGTAGTCTCATCAAATGGACAAAAGGCTTTTCCATCGAAGAAGCAGTTAAGCTCGATTCCCTTTTAACTATATATCTTAGAAATGATTGTTTTCGCCTTTACCCTGATCTTTGTTTAACCTGTTGCATAGGTTGGACAAGATGTTGTTGGAGCACTTAATAAGGCTATGGAAAGAGTTGGGCTTGACATGCGAATCGCAGCACTTGTGAGTTATCTATCGTCGTATGCTCTCTTGTGAATCGTTTTGTCATATGTTTGTTGATTTGTTTTTGATGGTTTACAGGTTAATGATACCGTTGGAACACTAGCCGGTGGTAGATACTATAACCAGGATGTTGTTGCTGCTGTTATTTTAGGCACTGGGACAAACGCAGCCTATGTTGAGCGTGCAACGGCAATCCCCAAATGGCATGGTCCGCTTCCAAACTCAGGAGAAATGGTTATAAACATGGAATGGGGAAACTTCAGGTCATCACATCTCCCATTAACAGAGTTTGATCACTCTCTGGATTTCGAGAGTCTGAATCCAGGCGAACAGGTACGAGTTTTTAAACTCCGGTTTGTTGTAACAAATTGCAATACCTACGAGCTGTCACGAGAAATGAAATTCTATGTGGATTTGTCATTTTTCAGATTCTTGAGAAAATCATTTCCGGTATGTACTTGGGAGAGATTTTGCGAAGAGTTCTTCTAAAGATGGCTGAAGATGCTGCTTTCTTTGGCGATACCGTCCCATCTAAGCTGAGAATACCATTCATCATTAGGTACTCTTTACTAAGTTTCGTTTTTGAGCAGTTTGTAACCGAAGTTTCTTCCTTTGAGGAATGGGTTTGTCTAAAGTTTCAACTTATGCGAATTGGTTAATCTAAAGTTTCATCTTTTGCGGAATGAGTTTGTCTAAAGTTCAATCATTTGCAGGACCCCTCACATGTCGGCTATGCACAACGACACTTCTCCAGACTTGAAGATTGTTGGGAGCAAGATTAAGGATATATTGGAGGTCCCTACAACTTCTCTGAAAATGAGAAAAGTTGTGCTCAGTCTCTGCAACATCATAGCAACCCGAGGCGCCCGTCTCTCTGCTGCTGGAATCTATGGTATTCTGAAGAAACTGGGAAGAGATACGACCAAAGACGAGGAGATGCAGAAATCGGTTATAGCCATGGATGGTGGATTGTTTGAGCATTACACTCAGTTTAGTGACTGTATGGAGAGCTCACTAAAAGAGTTGCTTGGAGATGAAGCTTCAGGAAGCATTGAAGTCACTCACTCCAATGATGGATCAGGCATTGGAGCTGCGCTTCTTGCAGCTTCTCACTCTCTGTACCTTGAAGACTCTTAAAACCTTCCCAAAGAGCGCCATTTTTCGGTAATTTAATGAAGCTTTTCGCTATCAGAAAACGCCTAAGCGAAGGTCTCAGGCTTCATAAAAGAAAAGCATTTTGTTTTTCCTCTTCCCCAAGACTTTCTTGTAGCAAATAAGTTTCCTTGGGAGAAATATTTGTTTTCATGTTCTTCAAAAATAAAAGACTCAGTTCTTCAGATTCTGGGATTTTATAACCAGATATGTTGTAAAAACTATAAAATTCAAAGCTCACTTCACTGGAGTCTGAGTATATAAAGATTTCATTTTTCTTCATAATTGAGCACAAAACACACTACTATGTACGAATCTACGACCTCGATTTCCAGGTCCCCGTGAAATTTCATGTGTACATAAAAGTTTAAATCTTTTCTCCAGATCAACATATATCATGTTCTAGCAACAAATGGGTACACAAAAGTTCAAATCTTTTCTCCAGAACAACATAAAATCTCCAACACACACATAACAGAAAGTGCAAGAACCTAAATCAAGAGACAGATGGTTGAACAGAGACATTGTTGAGACGCTCAAGAGCCAAGATAAGAGCTTGAGTACCAAGACCACCTTCACCATGTGCCTTAAGAGACAAGTAAAGCTGTTGAGCAAGAGCTAAACCAGGCAAAGCCAATCCCATCCTCTGACATTCATTCAAACAAATCCCTAAATCTTTCACAAAATGATTCACATAAAACCCTGGATCAAAATCCCTCTTCAGAATCCTATCTCCATACAAATCTATAGACTTAGAACGAGCAGCTCCAGTAGAAATCGCTTCAAGAAACTTCTTAACATCAAGTCCAGCTTTATGAGCATAAGTCAAACCTTCCACAAGTCCTAACATAGTCGAAGCAATTGTAATCTGATTAGCCAACTTCGCAAATTGACCTTTCCCACTTGTTCCCATGAAGTTGACTTTACCCATTAACGAAAACAACGGATCTAAACGTTTCACGGTGGTTTCATCTCCTCCGGCGAATATAGATAACTTCCCATTCTTAGCTCCTAAATCTCCACCTGAGACCGGAGCGTCTATTGAGAAACAATTCTCAAAGGAAGCAGCTTTAGCTATCTCCTCAGCTAAAGAAGGCTCTGAAGTAGTCATATCAACGAGAACACCTCCTTGTTGGAGACCAGATAAAGCTCCGGACTTTGGATCGAGAAGGACATGACGGACATCGGAAGGATAACCAACGATGGTGAAAACGACGTCGGATTGAGAAGCGACTGAGTTTGGTGAGTCAGCGAGGTTTGCTCCCATGTCGATGAGAGTTTGAGCTTTGGAGATGGTTCGATTGAAGACGGTGACGGTGTAACCGGCTTTGATTAAGTGTCCACACATTGATCGGCCCATGACTCCGGTTCCGATCCATCCGATTTTGGTGTTTGATGGAGTGATGGGATCAGAGGAGATTGATGAGGAAGCCATTGAGCGACGGAGGAAGAAGGAGGAGACGACGGAGGGAGAGAGAAATCGACGGAGGAGTAGTGGCATTGAGTTTCTGTGGTGATTGATGGATTCTAGTAGTTATCGAAGGTTAAGTGGTATAACATCGTAATTTCAAGTTTCTTCTGAGGTGTTTTTCGTCAAAGTTCTTTAACGACGTCGTTTTGTTATATTGATTTGGTTCGGTTAAACTTGGTTTATTTAGGCTAAAGCGTGCATGTGCGCGTGGTGACAATCAATGTCATTTAACAAGGTAAGCATGAGTAAATGATAGTAAATGTTTTATAACCAACCTTTTGTTTTGAAGATTTAGAAGAAAAAGAAAAAATGGATTGGGTTTGGGATTTGATCCAGTATTTGGTTTGGGAATGGAGTATATGGATCATCGTAGTTGTTCTTTCTGTCTCCATTGTGTTGAGATATTTGTGGATTCTCGAAAATTGTCCTAAAACACAACCTCAACATTGTAAGAATATTTATTTCTCTAACATCTTTATCATGATCTATGGTTTCAACAACTTTTCTATATTTTATAAGATATCCAATGCTTGTTGATGTTGTATATTTATATATGTATATCATCCAAAGCAGTGGAGCAATCCCTAGAACCAACTCGCTCTGAAGTGGTCGTTGGTGATTCGGTAGAAGAGCCTCCGGAGAAAGAGCGCTTGGCGGTGAAGACTGTGGTTGCGAAGGTAAAGCCGACTGTTGTGAAGGTGAAGCCCAAAAAGTTTTGGTGTTTGTGTTAACAACAATAGCACGCATGACTTGACTAGTATGTCAAATAAATATCGGATTAACAACAATACTCGAATGGTCGAATCGTAGTGGAAACACTTTGACAAAATAGTTCATATTATGAATTGCCAAAATAATTTAGACTACATTCCAAAATGACGTCGTTTTTTAATGTATGAGTAAAGACGTTGTGCGTGTTAAAATACTTGAGGAAGACGTATACTTGAATAATGGCCTTAGCCTGCAATTCTCAAGTATACAGATATGATATAAATTAAATTGCACGAAACGTTATGGTTGGACTTGGTTGATGAACAACTTGAGAGCGACATTTTATCTTATTCATGTTTCTCTTAAATTGAATCCTTGAGTGTGCGTCCACTAACATATCAATTACTTCTAACAATTAATCTTATTTCTGTTTTTTTAATATTCCGGTTTGTTTTTGTTTTTCCGGTTTATATATGATGTTTCCTATGTGTTTGATAAATTCGCCTAGTGTGTATATAGTATTCTTCTCATTATGATAGGAAAATATATACATAGCCATGTTTACATCAAACTACCGACGAAATAAACACAAGCCAAATTTAAGTATTCAACACTCAAATGGAAATATATCTAAGAAAACTTGAAAATCACCGTTCCAACCCCAATATTTATACATATATTTTCAATTTTCCCCTTATGTTTTTCTTTTGCAATCCAACCCCCACAATTTTGGTCTCTAAACGCTTGGATCATCTAACCCATCCATCGTGGTAGGGCGACTCTAGCGTGTTAGCCATCTTCTTTTGCAGCTTAAGGTTCTTATAAAACTTCTTTATAAACTCTTCTGCGGCCTTATCCACCACATGATCATGATCTCCGCCGTCGTCTAACGGGAACGGCGAATCCGTCACCCTGAGCTGTCTCACTGCCGGAGACATTATCAGCGGCGACTCTCTGGCCGATTCTGCCGCCACCGTCTTCCTATCATTCTCTCCTAACAACTCAAAAACTTTCTTTACCGCTGCCTCCACCGCATCTTCTTCGTTGTCATAACCGCCATGGACGCGGCGTTTGCGTTTGGACATAAAGGCAAAAGGGTCGTAGTCGCGGACGCGTGTGGAGCTGACGTCAGAACCGCCGGTGGGGCTTGATCGGCGGCGGAGGTTAGTGATGGCTTTGTTGCCTCTCTTAAGCATTAGGTTTAAGTCAAGCATGAGCTTGTTTTTGACCGTACCGGTTTTTAAAACGCAGAATACTATGCGGACGATTTTCCAAAGCCTCTTGGCTGCGACTTGAGCGTTTTGTTCCATTTCCATGTATAAGCCTCTCTTTGGTACAGAAGATTCCATTTTTACTATTTTCTTTGGAGAGAATATTTTTTTTATTCTTCTTCTTTTGCTTGTCTCACTCTTGTAAGATATGATATTGTCATTGGAGGGAGGAAGTAGAGGGTATTTAACGGATAAGAAATAATAATATAATAGATATGTAAAAGGATATTGCATAATTAAATAAAAATAATGAGAAATAACCTAAAACCACAACTTTAAAAAAAGAAGATATTTCTTTCTTATTAAGAGGTTAGAGTAGTCGCCAAAAAAGAAGTCTTCTTTGTATAATGATTTAATTGCTTTATTTCTTTATTTTTCATTTTTATATTAGAATCAAGATATCCACAATTCAAAACACGTACAGATCTAACCGTTAAATGATGGAAACGAAATTTAGAGTAAAAGGAGCTTTAACTCTAGAGTAAGCAACCGAATTGTAGCTATGGTGGTTAGGATGATTCAAAAGTGAGTGATATAGATAGTAGAAAATGATAATAATCATAGAGTATGCATTAAGTAAACCAAATAATAATATCATTCGTGAGCTTGTCATGAGTACCGATTTTGGTGGGCTGGTCAAGGGGATTGTAAGCCGGTTGAGTTTTGCTTACAACAAAATAATATAAGGAAATATTTTTTTATTAAGGATTTTAGTTAAGTTATATTACCTCTAAAGTGGTAAGGTAATGTATGAAATTTATATATTAAAAAAAAAAGAAAAAATATCACCTGGACTTGATGTTTTTCTTCGTATCTACGTTTACCATTTTATATATTGTATATAGATTCAGAAAATGAAAACCTACGCTGATATTTTTTCAATTTAAAATATCACACATTTTAAAGATATTGCGCTTAGAGTATCACGTCCAAATCAAATCAAATGCAACATTAACTATGATTAGATTGTCCCTAAGAGGGGTGTATTGGAACTAGGATTTTAGAAAATTTTGGGTTTTTACTAAAATCACCTGTTATTGAATTTGTGATTTTCAAATCTCTTCTCAAATCCAATGTTATTGAAATTGAGATTTCAATAAAATCACTCACAATCTCTTGTTATTCAAACTATAATTTCTAAACTTGATATCAAATCAACTGTTATTGAAAACACAACTTTGTTTTTTTAAAAAAGCCATAACATTGATTTTGGGAGACTTTGGATACAATTTTACATGAGAAATTCAATTAAAGAAATCACACCTTGAGAGGTGTTATTTGGAAAAAACTTCTTTTAACAAAATAAACATAAGAGAAGTTGTCCTTTCACTTTCTCATTCTCATCGTCAAAAGTCAAAACTAATCTGTCACCTTTTTTTTGTTCTTCACTTGCAGAAAAAAACAAAAGATTTCGATGGCAAATCAAATTCATTACCAACAAAATCTCTCTCAGTTTCAAGTTTTTAATTTGAAGTCCTAATACAAAAACATAAACTTTTTTATAACCACAACACACCATGATTTCTTTATCTTTTACCACAAACAACGTTGAACGTGTTTTGGAACGTGTTGCAGAGAGAATCCAATTTTTCTATTTTTTTGTAAAGCAACGTTGCAAAAAGATCCCAAATTTTCTAGACAATGTTGGAGATAAGTTTTTTTTGTAAATCCAGTTTTCCTATTTTTGTTTTAAAAATCTCACCAAATCATCCAATATTATCTCTTAAATCTCACCAAATAACAAACTAGTATTTCCTTTTCTAAAATGAAAATTCTAACAATTCCACCAAAAGTATCCTAAAAAATCACATAACTTTCTCAAAATCCAAAATTTCCTAAATTCCACCAAATCCACCCAAATCTTTAATTCAATACACCCCCCTAAGTGTATATGTTCTCCAAAGCTTTCTATAAAATTAATAGGATTATATTAGTTGAGTCATGTCTTCAAAGTTGATAGCAAATTTAGACCGTTGCCGTAGCCACTAAGGAGATCCAACAAAATAAAGGAAATGTCATCTTCGTACGTGGCGATTAACATTTACTTTGTTGTCTTTAGAAATTTCTTATACGTGTTACTTCACAAATGGACCCCTCACAATCTAATAATTGTAACTACTAATATTTATACTTTCAAATGGAATCCACACTAATAACCACAAGCTCTAACCAAAAGGCCTTTTAGTCTATTTCAAATTTCTGATCCTTTATTAACGTCTTGATCAATTACAAATCCATAAGGTTTTTCAGTTTGTGGTCCAAATATTTTTTTGGAATTATATTTTAAAGAAAATTTTGGAGTGTCTACAAGAGAATATATGTTAACAGCAGTTCACATGGTAGAAAACAATCCCTTAAAAAAATTCATCATCAAAACAGTAATTATAGAATCATATCATCAAAATCTAAGTAATAAAACATTTATGATCCAGGATTGTTGAGACGAGACTGAATAAACTTTTTAGAATCTCCGTTCAGAAAAGGATACCCAATAATTCCGCTGCTTGTAAATTGTATAATGCGATAAAAGTTTTATATTTTTTCTGTATCGTTTTAATTGAATGTCTTACTAATCAGTCACAATAAAAGTAGCACACCCCTTATTGCAACAGTAAAATTTACCAATCACACCCATTATATTTTGTGCATTATCGATATAATTAATCCATAGTCTCATTACATACTATATCCCATTTGTCAAAAATCACCACAAAATGTCAGTTCCAGTTATATGTTGAATATGAAACACGTAAGTAATCGACCAATATTTTAGGCTTTTTGCGTATTTCTTGTAATGAATTTTTTTTAATGAAGATTTTGTTAAGAGTAGACACATCAATTTTGCTTTATGTTGTACAACTATATACCCTAGTTGCCAGTAGCCACAAACTGAATCGAAAACGACAGCACGTGTACGTCGGGATGGAGGAAGAATACGTGGAAGCAACATGCATGCAGTTTTCAAATATAAAACTAATTATTGGCGAAAACGACACACCATTTCCATTTCCATTTCCTTCACAAAACCATATTCCAACAGTATTTATATCATCTAATCCCATCAATAAGGCTAAATATATCAACTTCTAATTTAATCTCCCTATTCTCCTTGTTTTGAAAAATGAAAATTAGTACTTTATTTTTCAAAATTTCATTGTTTTAATTTTACTTTAAAGTTTATATGTTGTTATTAATTAGTTTATAATAATGTTTCATTTTTGGAGTTTTCGTAAAGGAGCTTTTGAAATGGACCATAAATCTTGAGAGCTTAGACGTGAAGGCATCTAAGCAAATGATTATATCCACCTGTATCTCAATTTACTAAGGAATTTAAAAAAAAAAATCAATGTGGGAATTCCATAAGATATATATATATATATATATATAACTGAAATACAGTAGTGTTTTTTCCCATCAACATTTTAGTATCTAATAAACGTCGAGTTCTCTACTTTTTTCCTCTTTTATTGATGGTCTGCTTTTTTTGGGTGGAAAGCTTCTGTGAAGTAATGGATTTTTCATTTTGTCATTTTTGGACATAACAACGTTATTTATTGGATCAATATATATATATATATATATATATATAATAATTTGTTGTTGGACCGGCCGGTGTTATGGATAAATCCCTTAATCCACTATATTATGTCCCTCAATAATATTATCCACTGCAAAAGATAAGGTATATTAATCATATGTTTTTTTTTTTTTTGGTATGGATGTTTTGGTTTTTCAGTTGGATTTGTCTTTTTGAATTGTTCAGTTCGACATACTTGGTTTCAAATTAGAATGGAAATTAATTTGTGTGCTTTGATTTGACAATTCAAACAACTAAAATATATATATTTTGCAATTAAAAATATTTTATCATAATTTAATAATTTATACAGAATTTGCGCAAGTAAATACAGTTTAGTTTGACATTGCAAAACTGAACCGGCCTATAAAAAAGTGCGTGTTATGACAAAACGCAACGCATCAAACCAGTGAGCCAAGCGATGGTTGGACAAAGATAATTTGGTCGGGCTTGAGCGATGGCCCGAATCTGTTGTATTGGGCTTTTTTACTTTACGAGGAAATTATTAGTTTATTACCAATTTTCATGAAAATAGAGATAACATCGGTCGGTAATTACATTCCATGTCACTTTGACCATGTTGTCACAAATTACTATCAGATAAATTTTTCGTATAAAACTAAAAGTATACGATCCATTTTCTAAGTCTCAACAGTTTATTTCACGATACACAAAATAACCAAACCTTCAATTTCTAATCGTTTCCAATCCCAAAATCAAGCGCCAAGAACATCAAAGCTGACGATGCAGCCGAGAATTTTGGTACGAGTGGCGGAAGCGGTGGTTCTGGTAGCGTTTCCGACATCGGTAAAACAATGGTTGCACCAGGATCTGCTGGAGGTCAACACATTTCGAGGGATGCTTTTGAGAGAAACCCTAAGAAGTTCTTTGATGATCTTCACACCAAAGAGAAGAAGTGAATCGTTTAAATGAAGAATTAAATTATCAAAAGTGATGATATCTTGTTTCTTATTTTCCTCTTTGTTAGTGATCCTCTCTAGTTCACCCATGGTGGAGTGAAGTACAATATATATAATTCATAATTTCTGAACTTTTTCGCTCTCTTTAGTGCTTTTCTTCTATTCAGAATCTTTTACATGAATTGAGAACTACGCATCGATGTTTTTTTCCGTATATTATCCCACACAATAGACATATTATAAAGTAATAGCAAGATTATAACAATACAAACCACGTGGAAGTAATCAAAATAAGTACTTAACCACAAATTACAATTAACCGGTAAAAGAAAACAAACAGTTTCCTAAAGCAAGAACATAAATTGATCACTTGGTCATATCATCTGATAACGCATCAAATGATGAAACGCCAAACGCAAATTCTCTAGCAAAGTTTTAAACGAAGTACTTTGTATAGCATCATGAGCAATCAGCCTTGGAAACTCAATTTGTTGTTTTCTCAGTAGACTGACTGCTCGTGATGTTATATCATTTTTTTCTAACGTTGGAATTTCACGTGGCGTAATTTCATTGGTTCAATGGAATCCGGCGGAGCCGAGTGCTGGAGCCCAATAGTCGGCGCCGTTGTCGCTGCCTACTTGGAGTGTGCATGAGATTGGGACAAGACATAAACCTCGACTTCTCAGATCTTTCTTAGGCTCTTCACTTGCATTTTGATTTTCCGTAGATGACGAAGAAGCTCCTCTTCTCTTCATGCACTGATCATTCACGAGCTAAAACCATATCAAGAAGTAAAAAAATCAATTATGATTTATATAGCATTGATTAACAACAAAGTAAACACATGTTCTAACACCTATATAAAGAGGTGACTAATAATATTATTCCACATTTTACAAAACAATATCGTCTAAATCCTAGCTTATTACATGTTTTAGGAGTTTCAATTATTTTTAGCTTTATTAAATAGTATAGTGTATTATGTTGAAAAGTGCAGTGAGGTAATGTTAATATATGATTAAGAATACAAGTATTAGACAAATCCAATATAATTTGAAAAATATGAAACAACATTCACTATAAGACAAAAAGACACATAAAATTTACTTTAAAAATTGAGATTCCATAATATATTTTGGCTGAAAATAGATATTTCATTGAGTTTTCACTAGAGAAAATAAAATCCCGCCAAAAGAATTTGAAATGCACTTAGATGAAGAAAAAAATTGAGGAGAAAAAGTTGATATTTTAATAAATTTAGTGCTTTGTTGGTTTTAACGAACTTTGCTGGTTTATAATAATGTAAGGGAGGGTGAAAAAAAAAGCTGGCCACTGCATCTTTTAATATTAATTCAACGTAACTTTACTTTAAAGAAAACAGTAGAAAAGCAAAAAAAAAAAGAAAGGATAAATTTTGGAAACTAAAGCTGTCCACATTTTTTAGATTTGGATTCAATTGATCCAATAAAAAGTATAGTGACCCTAAATATATATAAAGTATAATGACCAAGAAAAAATGGACGCACCTGGCCAGGGTCCTCAGGAAATATGCAACTCCTATCTCCTTGCAACTATTCATAAAAAAACATAGTTAAGAGATAATTTAGTATATATAATAAGTATAAAAAATTTTGTGTAGGTTATCAAAAAAGAAGAAGTTAAAGGTATAAAGTATAAACTATAGCATGATGATGTGTTTGTGTATATCAGTATATAACTATATATACGAAAATTTGGTGCTTACATGTTGTTGGTGCCTCAAATTCCCCGAGGCAGTCGTACCAAAGTATGGATGACTCAGAGCCTGCAACAATGCAACAGTTGCAAAAAAAACATAAATACTTTATATATAATCACATCAATCAAATGTTACTTAACATGGAGAGAACAAAACTTTATAATATCTTTATTCATTCTCTTATAATATCATCATTATAATTTATTTCTCAGTAATCACTTGGAATCCTCTGACACATTTTAATTTTCTAGAAGTTTAACTTTTTAAGCATTATTTTTATTTTACTTAAAGGAAATTGCGAATATTTAGAGTTTGGAAAAGACGAGTCACACCTCAATTTGACTCTGAAGGAATCTAATGTATCCAATAGCTTCCGACAGGACAGATGCTGTGTCAGTCTGCAAAAGATGGGTAAAAAGGGATGAAGAATGATTTAGATTAACAAGAATGAAACTAAAAATATCTACAAAATTAATGTTAAAAGTTGATTTGATAAAGGAATATTAGACGACATTAATTAATGTGATTTGTTAATCAAATCGATCTTTACCTTTCCAAATGGAGATACTAGCTGATGAAGCGCTGCGATTCGGCCTCCTAGTTTCTCCTTTCTCACCTTTAATTATCACCATAGATTTCATTCAAAAAAAAAAACTTATAACCATAGATTAATTAATTAATAGCATCAATTAAAAGCTTTCTATATATGTGCATGTGTGGTTGTATTTTTTACTAATTACCATGCATATATAAAACGTGCTTACTTAGTAAGTAGAAGGGATTAATAATATTTTACTTTCATTAGTGTATAAAATTATCATTATATTATTGAATCCAAAGTATAAATTTAATATATATAGTATCTAATTCTAAGGAGAATGTTGTGATATATTTAAGTTTGATTTTTATGAAAGAAGAGAGGAAAGGAATAATGAAGAAGGAAGAAGAAGACAAAACAAGAGAGAACAAAAGAGTTACAAAACACAAAACCACACAGCTTATTCTGTGCCCATTCTGTTTTGTTTGCTTCTTCTGTTCTCCTTTGTGTTTGTGTTTTTGTTTTGTTATTATGATGTCAGGGAGAGAATTTATATACAGAAAACGTTATATAAGTTATCTAAAGTTTCGTTGATATAATCAATTAGTTACCTTGAGGGTTGATTGTGACGAAGGAGAAGGTTGGAGCCTTGGCTTCTTATTAGTAGACCCACCAATCTCTAAGCTGTTACACTTCATCACATATATAGATAACAAACAAAACAAAGATCAATTAGTCATTAATCAAAAAAAATCATAGCAAAACTTATCCTGGTTGCGTATTGAATTTAGATCCAAACCTTAATTAAAATAAGACTTGTTGTCCTGTTCTTTTTAAATGACGTTTTAGATTTCACTTTTTCATGATGTGTTTACTAATTTATATGTAAACAATCAATTATTTCCTAACTTTTTCCGTGTATTATCAAAATCTCTGAGATGTGGAAGAAGTGTTACCTCAGAGGATCGATCCGGAGGAGTGTGTCTCCCTTCTGACAAGTGAAGACCATTGTGATTGCTGGAGAAATCCAACATATTATTATTGTTGTTGATGTTATCGTCGTTACTATTGAGGCTTGTTGTGGTTGTTGTTGTAACACAAGATTTGTTAGGAGGTGAGTTCGGAGAAGAGATGACATAGCCATTGTTGTTGTTAATGTTACTCTCTTGTTTGATGTCAGCAGCCACCATGGCAGCTTGTTGGTGGCTTAACACTTGTTCTTCCCAATTCTCCAATCGCATCTTCCCTTGAAAACTATGGTGATGTGGTTCATCATGATGATTATGATGGTTCATCATCTCCAATCTCTCTTCCTCTCCCATCATCAATCCACCCCTAAGTCCACAAAAAAAATATCCAAAATTATTAGATTGTTTATTTGATACTTAAAATACATACAGATACATACATGTATATACGTATATATGTCATAACAAAGAAGTAATCAAGATTAGGTAGCAACACACGAGAAAATAAAGAGTGAACTAGTCAAGTAAACACAAGATCATGTCATGTGCGTAGAGAATATTTCATTTTGGAATATTTATGGAGGGGGAGAGAGAGAGAGAGAGAGGGATAGTTACAAAAGAAGTTGGCTAAGGCTCCAAGACTCAGGAGGGAGATCATTGCTTTCAAGCCAAGAAGAGAGATTAGGGTTATTAGGCAAAGACGGTGAAGAAGAAGAGGAAGACGAAGTCGCCGGAGATGGCAAGAAGTGCGGCAAGGGAGTGGGCATCATCCGTGGTCGGAGATAATTGTTGTTAGGAGTCATATGTGGCGGCAACGGCGCCTGCTGATGACCCATCAACGGTGGGGGTGGCCTCATGCCACCGCTTACGTTCCACCAGTTAGGGTTTCCGGCTGCCATCAGCTGTTGAACCGGCGAACTCTCCAACACACCTCTATTCATCACCTTTTTTCTCTACTCTCTCTCTCTATAGATCTCTTTATGTGTTTACTAATCAGAGGCTTTGGAGAAACGTTGAGAAGTGTTTGATTCTTTAGCTTAAGTAGTTTTAGAGAAGAGAAAGAGAGAGAAAACTCAAAACTAACTTAAATTTTGATCTCATTTGACAACATGTGATGTTAATTTCTTTGGAATTCTTTTTTTTTTGTTTTTAAATTTTGTCTTTTTCCTCTCTCTTCATTTCGTTCCTTTAATTTCTCTCTTATTTTTTTTTTTAAGATTTATTTTATTTTATATCATATATTTACTTTTTTCCCATGCTTTTTTCCATGCTTTAGCTTTATCTTAAAGTGGGGCAGAGAAAGGTGGTAGCTACTTTTATTATTTAAATTAATACTGAGTTGAGAAAAACAAGCTGAAAATATTTTTAAATCAAGGAAAAGGATTAATATTCGAATATTTTATATACGGTGTATAAAATTTTCGAATATATATATATATATATATTATATAATTAAATAAAGTTTTGGGTATATCACAACTCACAAGTGCATCTATGATCTATGCATTCGCCTTTTGATCGAATGTAAATTAATTATCCTTTTTTTCGTTCTTGAAACTTGTTGTTGTTTTTTTATAATTTGATTAGTAAGATTGCTTCTTTGATCTAACGGTTTAGGTTGGCTAATTAGTTCTAAACTGGCAATGATTATATCCTGGGCCAAATACTAGGGTTTTAGTTTGTAGGTACTAGCTGAGCTAACATATATATTTTGCTTATTTACTCATTGTATACGAAATTAAAAGTGACACGTAAACTTTCACTTTGATAACAAAATTTTCAATAAAATATCACCCCGTCGTTGTATTATATGTCACATATACTTTTAAAATCATGTAGCTATTTGTTATTTTTTTAGTAATAATTTTCGTACTTTTAGATTTTTTAAAAATAAGTATGTTCATTACTTCGTATATATGGACTTTTTAAAGAACACTAAGTAATAGAATTTATACATAATTCCAATAATAATTAAAAATTAAAATAAAACTATATTTTTTAGAATATAATAATAATAATAATTACATATTTTTTAACAATGTAATTAGTAATTGCAGTATTTTATATTTTGATATAAGTTTTAACGAATAAATATGTGGCATAGCCTGATAGTCAGGATTGTGAAATTAGTTAATTCTGTTTGCACTTCTGTTAATCAATATCTATGTAACTAAACTATGTTTACATATAATCAATTCTCAAATATATTGGTTTAGTCGATTGCCAATGAGTGTGAAAATCGTGCATCGTGTCGTATTTATCTTCCATAATAAAAATTCATATCCAATTAGAAAAAGGTAAGAAAATTAAGACAAAAAAGATTCTTGTAGTTTTTTCAACGAAAGATTCTATTTTTGCTGACGTAAAAAGTACTGAATTGTGTTGCGTAGGGTTTTCTGTAATTGTAAATTTGTAACAATGCAAATACATCTAACGAACTCTGTACTTAACTAATCAAAACGAGTCACAAAGTCGGTACGCGACTTTATTACATCAGATGAACATTTTCCCATATAATAATTATTATAAGAAAAACATTTTCTATAAGTAATTACTATTTTTTTTTCTTCTCATTTTCGTTGAAAGGTAAAGGTAAGAACATGTATGTCTTGATATGATTTGATCGTGGAATAAAGTCACTGTGGATTTTTCGTATATAATTTACCTTTACCAATTTTATTTCTTACTAATTTAAAAAAAAAACTTCAAATCAGAGAAAAAGTTTTAACACTTTTTTTTTTAAAACACTGTTTACTATATGTTAAATGTTCATTCTCTTATAACAAAACAATATACTAAACATTCTTAACATTACAAAGTATTTTTTGGATTGTGTATTTACTTTAGAATTTTTTTTCTTATTAAACAGTTTTCTATATATAGATAGCATAATAAAATATGTGCATATAGATATAGCTGCAATTGTATTTGTGTTTATATACTCCTCCGTATCAAAAGATTGATTTTATAGAGTTTTCACACTAATTAAGAAAAATATTTAATTTTAGTTATAAATGCACAATTTATTCATACTAAACCATTTCTCATAACTATTAACCATTTTTTTTTTTTTGATAAACTCTATCAACTGATCCGGCCAGTCCCGGTAGAAACGCACCGAAGTGCTTCAGAGTGGATTTCTTCCCGAATGACCACTACACTGTCTGTCCCGAGTTTAAAATTAAAAAAAAAAAAATCTATTAACTAATAGTAATTCATTAAATTTTAAAATTCTCAATTAATGATTCTTGAAATTCACAATTTATTAACATTAATTGATAAAAATTTATAGAAAATCAATCTTTTTGATACAAAAATAAAACCTCAAAAATCAATCTTTTTGATACGGAAAGAGTATTATATAAACAATTGTTCGTTCTTTATTTCACTCTGTTAGAGTGGGGGCGTGGGGCAAAGAAAAAAGCTGGCATATTAAAATGTGGCTATAAATATGCACCACTAGATTAATCAAGGGAAAATGTTTTTTACGAATTGGTTGTAAAAAATTGTAACGAAAAAAAAAAGTTCGCACTCACACAGTCAAGCACAAGATGACGAGGGCATTGTGTCATATGACGCATACAAGTAGAACTTGATTTAATTAACTTCAAACATGAACCGAACGAGTCCCTTTTTTGTCCAAACATGAATCATCTTTTTTTTTTTTGCCTACAAGGAAGAAGACCAGTAATCTCGAAGGAATCAATGTCCTAGGGTTTGGAGATCCCTAATGGAAATGGTCTAATATTCTGTTTCCCAGTGATTTCAATTTCCAAGAAATCCCTTACATATATTACTTGTAAAACTTACTACTCCAATATACGAGTCAGAAAAAAACAATACAATATTTATCCTTATTTTTACTTATAGATGTATTTACTTTTATGACAAAAATGTATTCTCTCTGTTTCTAATAGTTTGATGTTTTGGAGTTGTCACATTTATTAAGAATTCAATCATTCTTTGATCATTTTAACATTGTTTTTTAATTTTAAATATTTTTAATAATTATGAACCAATAGTAGTATAAAAAAGTTAATGATTTATGATCAATGTATCTTGAAGTTTACAATTTACTATTATAAGTCAATAAAAATAAAATAAAATTGTAGAAATCAATCTTTGTGGAACAAACAACAAAATGTAAAACATCAACCTTTTAGGAACAGAGGGAGTATTTGCTAATTATATACGTCTTCTAATATGTATTTATATATATATATATACTCCTTCTATTCCTAGATGTTTGATGTTCTAATATTTTTGGTTTGTTCCTTAAAGATTGATTTTCTAGATTTTTTCTTTATTTTTAATTAATTAATATTAATAAATCGTAGATTCCAAGACGTAATGATTAACAGTTTCAGAATACTATTGGTTCATAGTTTAATAAAAATAAATAATTAAACAATAATTGTTTCTTAAAATAAGTGAAATCTCTAAAAAATCAATCTTTTAGAAACAGAGAGGGAGTAGTTTTCACCTAGAAAATTGATGCTTATAAAGAACTTATAGGGTTCATTTACTTGCCTACTCTACATGAATAATCTAGCAGATAAAATCTACATTTCCAATTTGATACGAATAAGTACATATATATAATGGGGATCATTTACCGTGGCTAATGTATACTTTTCACTCTTAACTTCTTGAGTATTTAATTTATTATATATGAAAATTACTCTCATTGTAGAGATTATTGATTAAATAAAGGATATCAATATATAACTTGGATAAATTCGCCGTATAGCTATATGGAAGTAATGAGTACATTTGTATCCTAACAAAAACTACAGGTCTATACTTGTAATTTCTTATTACCAAAATCTAAAGTAAGATTTGGATAAACTAAGTCTCTAATGATGAAATAATTATGTGTAGTGCTACTTGTAAATTCCACCATTTCCAAGCATATTTTGGTTAGAATATTCCAAGTACATATGTTATATTCGTTGGAAAATAGTTAAAAAATTTCAATCACTTTCCAAAACATAGTTTTTAATAAAATAAACACTTTCTAATTAATTCTCATTTTCGTCGTAAAATTATCACAAATAAAGGACGGATTTTTTTTTATAAACCAATACTTTGGTCGGAAATATGATCAGAATTGACTATTTTTTATACAAAATCCATGAGATTGACATCAATTTTGATGTTGCATCAAGCAAAAAAATCGAGAAAACAAATTTAAATCTCGACAAAAAAAAGTTCACCATCCCAAGTTTACATGACCCACAAAAAATACAAAAAGAAAATTGCAACCGTGAAATCTCAAACTAAAACATCGAAAACAAATCTAAAGTTAGACCGTACATCTTAATATTATTTTTCTTTTGACATCTCAAATTATTACAATTTTGTTTGTTTGTTTCTTGATTTGAATAAATAATATAACCAATTAGAATATAGAAGAATGAACTATAGAAATATCTTTCATGTAAAGGTTGATCATCTACTACACTAAATCTATGTTTCAGTTTGTTTCAACAATTGGAGTTCTCTTTTATATATAAACTAATTATATTAACAGAATACTCACATTGAATCTTAGAACAATATTTTTTTCAAAATAAATAGTCTACAAAAATTTTGCTGACTAAATGATAGTAACCGGAAGTTTTAAACTGTTGAAACAATCTAATGCGAACCATATCAATTTGGTCCACTGTCAAATTGGTCCTTCCGATTCAAATAGGGTGTAGTTTTCTTTCTAACACGCTTCCAAAATCTTTGTCGGAGAGGAAGTGTCGTTTCTTCCCATATTTATTCTCCTCCTTATTTAATGTTTCTTAGTTCTTCTCCTTTTATTATTTAATGCTTACAAACAAACACCAAGCACCAAATTCCTCTTTCTTGTCTTCCTCCATCACCCCTATTTTATTTTATTTTCAAAATACTTATATACATTTTTTATTTGAACTCAAATTCTCTATTAACCAAAGACTAGCTAACATAGTAATTTGGGTTAATACGTACTGTCATTGTATTACAATTTTTTTTAAACCCACAAATTACATGTATATTTTAATTAAAAAACTCAAATTATTTATTTACTTCTTGTCATGTATTTAAGAAGACTAAAATTAGAGGTAATAGATAACAGAAT